CCTCCAGGAATTTCCCTTGGGTTAACGTTGCCGTTGCTGCATAATAGAGTGAAATCATTTACTTTGACATCTCTTTAGTGAATGCCAACTCCAGCCAAATTCTGTCAGTGTATAATTAGATCAGGAGCTAACAGCAGCCCTTATGTTTTGGTTGGCTGCCACCACCGTGCTTTCTTTATTACAGGCACATGAAGGCTTGCTGCCACAGTCGTGGGCAAGCTTACATATCCAGCTGCCCAGGGTGGTATCTGAGAGTCTGGGGTGGGGTAAAAGAACAGACACTGCTGTTTTTCCATCTATTTGAGATAGCCTTGCAGTTTCAGCATTCGGGATAAACCCTTCCCAGCAATGTGAGGTGCAGGTGATATTGGTTTTTGTGGTGTCAGAAGGAGAAATGAAGGTTTACGTGTAGCGAAGCTCTGAGGCTGCGATACCAGTTTGTGAGCCAGGTATTTTCCAGCTGTGTTTTATTAGTTGAGGAGTCAGCACATCAGTAGTGGGCTTCTCAAAGCTGCTAGAAGTCTGTAAAGAGGACATGTAAGAACATAAAATTGCCATCCTGGATGAAGCTGAAGGTCTGTTCAGCCCATGTCCTGTCTCTTGAGAGTGGCCCGTAGCTTTTCCTGAGCTGGACACAGTGCTTTATTGTCGCTAATAGTCCTACCCCTGTTAAATTGCCTAATTCCTTTTTGAACACTTTCTGATTCTGGCCTCCACAAGGCCTTGTGGAAATGAATTCCACCATCAAATTTGGCACAGTTTGAGTCACCCTGCCCGTATCAGGAGGATCCGTTTCTAAGAACCCATTTTGCTGCACCATCCAAATGAAACAAAGCTGCAACTTGGCAGGATCAGCACTAGAACTACAAGGACTTCTGTGTGTGAGGTTTATTTAGTGGCTGTGTTTCAGACATTCCCAAGAAAGCAAGGGACAGATACTGCTGAGCAGGCAGGACTGAATACATTTCAGTATGAGCTGAGCTGTCAAAGCGAAGGAACACTTTTCTTTCATTGCTTTTGAACCATTGGATGACCTTGAATAGTTCAAGTGCCTTGGAAAGCACTTGAGTGCTTTCCTGAATTTTGTATTATGAGAAGCAATGAGTAATTATCGTCTATTCTGCTTAATGTTAATATTTTTTTTTGTCTTTGTCATATCAACCCTCTGTTGTATGTTTGCAGAAGAGTCTTAAGTTATGCTGTCCTCATATGGATGCAGACCACTTTTGTCACCTTTTTCTTACAAAAATATCTTATAATCACATCTCACAGCTCTCATTATCTCAGTCTGAGAAGAAAGTCAATATACATGGACATTTTAAATCCTGCGAACCAGCAAGTGTAAGGCCGCTGCTTAGCTGCTGCGGTTCTGCTACATCGTACCTCCCCATCACCAACAGCAATACTGTTAGGCCAACTAAAATATAAAGTCTATTTTATCAGGGTCTCTAATACTTTCAGAGCTGCCTCTCAACTCTGTTTCATTCTGTCTCCAGAATTTGAAGCTTTTAATTTGTTCCTTGAGTAAGATTTTCTCAAAAAAATCATCGGTGACTTTTATAGTCTTTGAACAGGGCATCTTTCAATGGCAAAACAAGCAAATAAGGAGGAAGAACGTGAGAATCAGCCTGCAGGGATATGTTCATCCCGGTGCAAGGATCTCTGGTGAGCTGTGAGCAGGGCTGCCGGGGCCGGGAGCGGCGGAGCGACAGCTCCCCGATTTAGCTGGGAAGACAAAGAGTAATACTTCGCTCTAGGGTTACAGCTGCCACCTGCCAGGCTGATATCCTGTGACAACTGGCACTGCAGCGCTCACCTGTCATCGGCGTGACATCTGCCAAGGAATAAGCACAGTCTTTGTGGCAAGGCCCTTCTAGTTTTTATTATCTAGAGCTATCAAAACTGTTATCTGGAGAGGAAAAGATAAATGAAGAACAGTCTGTTGTTAGATCCAGATGGCTTGCACGGGAAGACCTTTGAAACAACGTTGAAAAATCCTGCTGTTTATCTGAAAATGTTCTTACACAGAATGGGATAATTAGATCCTACTGTAGCTGTTTGCTACGATGCATTTTGAAACAAACAAGGCTATCAATTTGGTTAGGAAAAGCAACCAAGCAGAATGCAATAAGGTCAGCACATGTTGGTGGGGGATGGATAAGCACTTTCCTTGTGCAGCTACAATAAAGCTCAGTAGCGTCAACATCTCTTTCCAAGCTTTCCTGAAGAGAAATAGTTTTAGAAGGGATGATCTTCCTGTTAAAATTAAGAGATGACTCATGAGACAAAAATCTTTCTCCTTCTCTTTAGTATATCAAGGCCCGAAAGATAAATGTTGACTTAGCTGAGACCAGAGCAGGAAGTTGAGAATATTGCTATCAATCATCTCCTTAAGATATGGTTTGGAGTCTCTCTCAGCTGTGTCCCCTGTTCGTTACAGTTGCTGCTGTTAGAGGTAGAACAGGTTTGGATAGGATAGGGTAGGATAGGATAGGATAGGATAGGATAGGATAGGATAGGATAGGATAGGATAGGATAGGATAGGATAGGATAGGATAGGACAGGACAATAGCTGGATTGTGGGCCTGTAAGATCATTCCTGCCATACACAGCTTTTGAGTGCAGTCAGAGGCAATGGAGCTTCTAAGTTTCTCAAGATGCCTGAAGAAAAGATCGACATCCCAGCTGTGGGACACTTGGCATTTTTAGGCACCCACATGCATTCTAAAAATCTGGCCCTAGGCTTTCTGCACCTCAGTTCCCAACTCTCCTCCTGGGGCACCAAAATGATACATTTATTAAGGACTGACATGGTCAGACCCTATTGCAGGGGGTCTGCAGAGGGATTTGAAAAGGCTTTTAGATAGAAAATATTGTACTTTTTAGCAGCATCTTCAAGTGCTCTCCTAAGGCCCCCTTCCCTTCCGCGTTACGCTGCCCATACTGATCCTGTGCTGAGGGTTATGTTTCACAGCATGAGCCAAAATGTTAACATTGTGGCATTTGATTATTCTCTTAGTAGCATCACTAAGAATGTTGTTGACACAAGATATGCAGCCCGCAGGCAACTCTGAACAAGGTAACTGGCATCACCGGCTTGAAATGCAGCCTCCCCAGGGGGTAGTTAGTGGGGCAGAATGTTGCCCCTGGGATCTCGCACTCCTTGGGCTGCTGCGACTCCTGTCACTGCAGCGTTTCGGAGGGTACTGGTCGTGATGGTATAGTGTGGACACAGAGTACATGAAACAGCTCAAACGACATTCCACAAAACCTTTGATACTGAATGGTATGAAGTAACACAAGCACGGTGGAAATGTCCTTCCGGGTTGCTGCCCAGACCGTGCCCGTATTCATACCCTGTGCCATGACACGCTTCACCTGGCATTTTCACCTTTTGGCCTTGTGTGACATGGCCATAGTGCTTTCTTCGTTACTGATGCTGCAGTTAGGAGCTGCACCTTTCCCTGTAAAGTTTCTAAGACTATTCCTTTAATCCTGGATTGAATCATCAAACCCCTTTACTTCATAAGGCTACAGTTTATTTACAAAATCACACCAAAGCAAGTGAAATTTAGCCTTTAACCTCAGCTTCCCTGGGCTGAGAAAACACCTAAGTGTGCTCGTGGTGAGAACAGCTGAGTTTTGCTTCTGGTCTGCCTTTCGCTGGCAGTGCCCGTTGAGTGAGTACTTCCCCATACCGCTCAGAGCCTTGCTTATTCATATAAATGGTTTCATTTCTCTGAAACTGATGTCATCAGACACTCACACTTTTTTACCACACCAGTGGAAATCAGTAGGCTGAACTATACTCTCCTCTTAATGAAAAATAATCGCCTCCTCTGTCCCCTGGATAAATACCATTCAGCCTGCTTTTGGTAAAGGAGCAGCGTGAAAAGCGTTTGGCTCTCAGTTTACATTGGGTTTGGTTCATTCCAGCCCTGGAGGTGGGTGTGCTGGTAACAGGAGCAGAGGAGGACTCTGCTCTTGTTAGAGCAGAGGTCTTGTAGACCCCTCTCCGTCGTGCAAATGGAGCACATTCCTCATCGACAGTGTCGGTGAAGGCTGGGAGGAAGCGGCTCGACACCTCCCTAGTCTCCTTTGTAGATTATTAAATGCCTGAATTGAGATTAGTGTAAATTGAGATTGAGGGCTGAACTGAGATTAGTGTAAGTCCTCACATTCCTACCTACGTGGAAGGTGATTCTAGCTGCTTCGTCCCTGGGGGTATCAAGGGAAGAATTGAATGCGTGACTATTTCAGAGGAAGAAATGAAGAGCAGCTGAGAAATATGTCAGGGCTGGGCCAAGACTGCAGTAATCTCTTGCAGAGATGAAAAAGGCTTTCACTTTCTACAAGCATTAAAGAACACAGCGGGGTAGGGTACATGTAGTTTCACGGAATTGCTGCACCAGGAGCTGTTACCACAGTTGCAGTGACTGCTTTAAAGGCAAAGTCCATTTTGTAGAAGTAGCCTGTTGTTTTGCACAAATCGTATATCCAAGGGTAGAACACCAATATATGTTTAATTCTTTTATGGTGCCATAATATACTTAATTCTTTTATCTCTCCATACATCAGCACTTGAATATCTTCAAAGGGTGGATATGTCTTGGACCTGGATATTTGGTGTTGGTAAAGAACAAATACAGTTTCTATTGTGAACTTTGCTAAATTTTCAGTAAACTCAATCCAGAATTTGAAAATGAATCTTAACTCAGCTTTAAAGTAATCCAATTCCTAATCAATTTGAAGAATATCCAAGAAATGAGACCTATGACTTAAGCACAAAGATACAGGATTGCAGTGTACCCAGAGGTAATGATGTAAGCAAAGGCACCCATCTCCATGGTAGAAAAATAGTGGAAGCAGTCTGACAACTCTGTGCCATGTTAAGACATCCAGGATTAGCTATGTGTATTTATTTGCATTTACTGTTTGCAGGGTAGGCTACTCTTTCGTGCAAGCAAACATAATCTGGATTTTAATATCATTAAGTCATCCTAATAAAACTCTATATTTTCATCCTGATCCCACAGTACTTTTAGGTCCAAATCTTTGAACAGCATAGTGAGAGGAGTGCTGTTGTCCCGGTCTGAGATAGTGTCGTGGGACACAACGTTGCTCAGGTTTGTGCAGCTTAGCTCCTTTGTTGCTGTTAACATTTCTATTTCTCGAGTCTCTGGGAACTGCAATTTATTTGCAGAATGTGAGAATGAATCTGGCAACATCCACTGCTCTGAGTTGTCTCCAGGGAAGCTGTTACCAGTACCGACTGAGAGGAGGAGGGCTGCTGATAGAGACGACAGCGATTTATCCTCTGTGACATAGTCTGTGTCAACTTCCACTGAAGACAATAACGGTGGCAGTTCTGCTGTCTGTCCTCTATAGCATCCTCCTTGTTCCAGCAAAGACAGTGACAGCTGGGATCCATGTGCTTTACTTTCCATTCCATCAGTCTGCAACAGCACTTGCTGTGTTTGCCCAGGGCTCCCCTGCAAAAAAACTGACTTTCTTGTGTCACTGTTGTCCCACAATGCCAAGTTTGGTCTCTGTTCTTTATAATTCCAATGGCTGCAGCTCTTGCCCAGCATCTGGGTTATGAGTTTTCCACCAACAAAACCATCTGGAGAAACATCCTTTAGCGTTTGGTTTGGCTGCAAATTCTTCTTGCCAACATGGTCTGTGCCTTCGACACACACGCCGTAGGTCAGGGGCAGGATTTTGCCGGACGCGGCAGTAGGAACGCTTTGCTCAGCTATTTGAGGAGCATAATTAGTAGGAGCTGCACTTGCCGAGCAGGGAGGCTGAGCGGGCAGCTGGAGTGGTGGTACGTCCATCTGTTGCTGATAGGTAGTTTGTGGTGGACAGAAGGACCATCGTGGCTCCAGTGCTCTGTCCAAACGTTGGCTGATCTGTGGTAACTGCACTTCAGGGATGAGAAGTGAGGGTTTGGATAAATTAATGGGCTTTATAATATGCTCCACTGTCAGTGTAAGAGGCTGGAACGATGAAATCCCTCTGAAGTCCTGTTGAAGTAGATAGACAAACATGAGGTATTAACAAGAAGCTGTGACTTTGAAGGTTTGCTTTAGATTCTTTAAAATTTTCTTTGGAGAAATATCAGTAAAAACCACCAGGGATTTGCTGTACTGAGAAAATAAATCTGTTTTTTTTCCTGGGGAATGGCCCTTCAGAGGAATACAGACATCTCTCATTATGTATCAAGGGCAACTGTGCGATCCTAAAATATGAGGAAGAAAAAATCTGGCTTTAACTTTTCCAAAATTTGGCCTGGGCCCTGCAGCATGGAAATAGATTGCCCTTAAGTTCATTTGGCATGCAGAACCAATGCTTGCCACGGGAGATGAAGGCTAGGTAAGGTGGCCCAGGGTTTCAAGAGGAACTAGTGATTTAGGATGCCTCAGGCTTTAGCTGCCTAACCTGATTCCTTCTTTAAAGGGGCCCGATTTGGAGGGAGTTCTGAGCACTCATCTTCCGTAAATCAAACTGCCAGTGGGTCACTTAAAAACTGGAAACCAAAATCTTAAGAAACTTCTGAAAATTTTAGATTTAAGAGGAAAGGAAAAGGAACTTCTGGGAGTCTGGGATTTTGAGAGCTGTTCTAACATATTAGTATAGAGCCCTGCTCTCCTCTAGGGACAATATGCACAGTTTATTTCCTTTAATAGAAAAAACTAGATTCTTCAAGTCCGCAGACATCTTTGCTGTCTTACTTTACAGCTCCCTGTGACAAATTTTCTCTACCTGTGGTAGGATGACCAGATTTAGATTAGATATAAGGAAGAAATTTTTCACTCAGAGGGTGGTGAGGCACTGGCACAGGTTGCCCAGAGAAGTTGTGGCTGCCCCATCCCTGGAAGTGTTCAGGCTAGATGAGGCTTTGGCCAACCTGGTGTAGTGGAGGGTGTCCCTGCCCATGGCAGGGGGGTTGGAACTAGATGGTCTTTGAGGTTGCTTCCAACCCAAACCAGTCTGTGATTCTATGATTTAAACCACCTGTAGTCTGCAGTGACCACCTAGACAATGCTCCTGTCTTCTCATTCATCCTCTTCACGTAGCGATGGCGTTTAAGTGCGTGCACACAGTCCCGAGCATTTAAAGATTGGCTGCGATGGCTCCAGAACACTTACCAACGCCATGGGCTGGGCACTGTGTCGCTTGATGTATTTGTAGATCACGTAACTAATGGCAGCGAACACCAGTCCGGCACAGAACGCGAGTGCCACGAAACAGTAGAGAAGCCACGTGTTGTCTGGTTAGTGGGGAAGAGAACAAGTGGGAAAGGTGGTGTCAGAGAGCTGGATTAGATAAACCGTGTGGGATTAGCTAAATGATTTTATAGGCCAATCTCGTAGGACTCGATTTTTAAATTAGGAAAGTCGGTGTTGCTTCGAGATGTTTAGCAAGGCCATGTTCTTTTATACCAGCTGAAAATCACTCTCTTTTGTGTACCCAGTATCCCAGCTGGACTTTTAAACGAGCAGAGTTAACAGCCTCACCTGCTAGTGTTTTAACCCAAAATACTTGGGATTTGCTGCTTCTCTGGAGGAGAGAGAGATATACTGTTCCGTTGTATTCAGTGTCTGGGTCCAAGTTGGAAACTTCAAATTCTTTGTTGTGTGCATGCTTCATCCACTGTTTAAAATAAAGGCAAATTCTGTGTTTTAGAAAGATTAAATGCATACATTTTCTTCAAATCAGATTGAAAAATTCAGCAGAATATTTTATTTACTAGTAAGGTGTTATAGGACTATAATAATTCTGTACATATGGAATTCTAAATATATAATTTGCTTTCCACTGTTATTGTATTTAATTTTTGCATTTCAGGTTCTTAAGGCTTGAACTAATTAAGTCATTCTCTTTTTTAGTCACCAGTGGTTTTATTTTTTGTTACTTATACAGCACCTTGGGAAACTCCAGTTTCTTTTCCAGAATTATAGAGGAATGCTTAAAGTTCCTCTTGTCTACTGAGAGTTAAAGACTGAGGTTTTCCCTTGCACATCAAAAATCTCATCCATCGTGTATAAGCTCTGATGTCCTTCTCCATTTTATGCGAAATGTGATTTACAAAAGTCAGTGGGCCAGTGGCCTGAGGTTGTGCTTTACCTTTTGGTGCGTCCTTTGGTTGAATATTGTTAAGTGATAATCAACAGTACCAAATTTGCTATAAATGTCCTCTATGGTTAGCTGGCGGTCATCCTCACCTCTCAGTGGAGTATAAGGGGGCCGTATAAGAAACTTTATGGACCGCACATAAGGAATATACTCCACTTCTGGTGCTCCAATAATAGCTAGAAAAGACAGAACAGGAGTGTCAGCTGTTAAGATTAAAGCTGATACATTATCAGATCATCTTATTCAGATGATCAGATGAGATCAGGTTATCATAAACATCTTATACACACCCCCCAGACTCACTGTAAATTATTGCTTTTGTTCATATACAAAACAGTATTTGACTGTATTTCACGGAGCACAGGAGAAATCAGGCACCTGGAGATACTGTCTTCCCTCAGGGTTCTGCCACCTTTAGCCAGTGTTTGTCTCAAGAAATTCTCCTTCCTTCTATTTGCATCACTGTCCTGCGCAGGGACGTCCTCCTTCACGCGTGTGTGATGAGTGTGAAATCCCACCACGGGGCACTCGGTTAACTGCTGCCTAAATTCCTATTCCCATCCTACATCAGATTTTCTCTTTAGAGTAGTTCAGCTCTTTTTTATGTACACTTATCTGCAGTGAAAGGCGTATGCTATCCCAACATTTAACCTGATCTATAACAGCGTATTTAAAAGCAGCAGTCCGTATTCCTCCAAGGACATGTAGCTTAAAAACATCAAACTGAAAAGAATGGCCTAATTGCTCGTGTGCCTCCTTCCCTTTGCTGTCCTAAACATCAATGAGACTTGGGATGAATCCTTAGAAGTGAGGATTTAATAGATTTCAGCAACGGTACGTACTCTCTTTTCTGGGCTCAAATCTTTCCGAGCGCACCCAGGTGGAGGAGCAGTAGTTGTGGCCAGTGGCCCTCACCCTGGCGTAGTAATGCTCCATGAAGTTTTCTGTTTCACGGCTGAGATTGCAGAAAGGCTGTGTGATACCCTGGCACTCACGCTTGTTAAGCCAGATTTTTTCTCCATACCTAAAGACAAAAAAAGGTTTTAGTCTTTTCGGTAGAACAGCTGCAGTACACTTCTCCAGAATGATCCAAATGGCTGTTTTGCCAACTCTTAGTAGTTTTTAAATTCATTATTACAATTACTAAGTGATGGGGAATGGAATGGCAGAGAAACTTCCCCTGGACTACAGCCCTTAATCCATTCCCGTTGATGGCTCCTGCATGGATGTCACATTGAGGAAGTGCAGCTTATTTCAGGGCACGGACCGGAGTGCCCTGAGTCAGCCACTTGGGGTTCTTTGCCCAGCTGTGACGCTGAATGACTGCATGCAAGTTCACTGCAGAGTTTGCAGAGCTACCCAAACCAGTGTAGCACTGGTCTCATCTCTCTAGTGACTGAACCAGAGGAAGATGACTGCTATTACCTGTATTTACAGGTGAGGAAACTACAGACTAGAGAGAAGGGGGCTGCTGAAGGCAGAGAGTAGCTCAGTAACGGAGTAAAGCTGGCAATCCAAGATGTAAAAGGGTTTGCGTAACTGAGCACCATCTACCAGTTTAAATACTTCTTTATTGAGTTCTTATCTAAGCAGAACCATTTCCGTAACGGTAAAACAAGCAGCAGAAACAACAAAATCTGCTTGTCTTTCTTGACCCTTCTCTCTCTGAGAACAGTGGCCCTAAGAACAACAGAATTCAAAAAAACGGCAAACTTCACATACTGTTTATATTGGACATCAAACGCAGTGCCAGGGGGAATGCCTGCTTCAGTTTCCCATGTCAGGATGTTCTCAAAGTTTGTAGAAGAAAATGCTGCACGTTTCAGACATGATGGCCTCTCTGTAGTCACAATGCCTAGAGGAGCAAAGAAACTAGTATTAAAATGCCTATTTTGGCATCTCAGCCCTCAGATGGATGTGGGTCTGATGCTGCTCAGCCTTTTAGTGAGCAGAAATATCATCAGGCAAGCCAGTTCGTTTGCTAGACATGGGCTGCAACGCAGAAGCTTGAACAGAACAGGAATTCAAACTGTGCACACATGGCTGTATATGTCTTACAGATTGTTGACTCATCCCAAAGAAATGCAAGTCAGGAATTTTTACAGAAAGACCTCAAAAACTCAGAGTCAGAAAGAGTATCTTTGAGTTCCTTATCAGGTTTCTTTTAAAGCAGTTAAATGGCTGGAAAACTAAGAATAATGTTCGTATCTATGAATGTCTCTGCTTTCTGCCCATACTCAGGGAAGCTGTATGCTTAGATTGGTGTCACATCATTGAAGATGTGACATTAACCCTTCGTGCTCTGTTTTATTGAATGGAGACTGCCTGTACAGAGTGACACACAGACTTGATGCCTATCTGGACTCTGGCCTGGGTGTGCCAGGGTGAGGGCAAACAACTCACGTGGTTCCCTGCTCTCAGAGCCCTGTGCCTCTTCTCCACAGAGGATGGGCTCTGCCTTAGGTAAGCAGAAATGTCGCTTGTCCCTGGCAAACACGCCCCTGGTCTGAGCTGCCTCCATAGAGCAGAATACCACCATGATCCACCTGCAGCAAACTGGTGTTGAGTAGGCGCTGCAAAAGGGTGTCCTAGAGACTTTTGGCTCTCTCCTATCATGAGAACACAGTGTGAAATTTTCTCAAGGCTGATTCATGCAACCTTCTAACTTGGAGAGTAACCTTCAGAATTGATAAGTTCTGTAAATTTGAATTATAGACACAAAGATAGATAATTTGTACATTACTCAACTCTCGGCTTGCAGAATTGATAAACACCTTGAACTTGCATGGGCTTCAGCCTGCGCTTGCTGAACGTGAACGATCCCCTTACGGTGCTTGTAAACGGACCCTCAACATCAAGGCATCCGCCCTATGAAGAAGGGGTGTGATGGGTGAGCAAAAGCAGCACCATTTTACAGATGGGAAAACTGAGGCCCAGAGTGGGGGTGAGGTGGACAAGATCACGTTGAGCAGTTGTGGTAGAGCAGGGACTAAACCACACCAGTTCCTGGGTCCTCGCTCCAAGCTTTCCTTCCAGCTGCCTCCGTGGAGGAGAACTGAGTGTCAGCAGTTCCAAATGGCCATGCTGTATAGGAGGAGAGCTCAGCAGAAAAACAGATCCAGTTCTCAGCCTTGTTGTGTGTGGCATTTTGGCAGGGAAGCAACGCAGAAATGGATTGCAGTCTAGTCCAGATTTTGTCCGGAGCTCGTCTGCAGTTCAACACTTGCCTCTGCTCACACAAGGCTCAGCACAGTCTTCCAGAGGAGGCAGGAACGCAGCAGTCAGAATAAAGTGGGTGGGTTTCCCTGTCTGGGCACCATGAAAACTGAGTCACCAATACACTGATCATATCAGAAGTAGGAAATCTCCATCTTCCCACATTTATCCATACTAAAACACAGTTATGCAAAGCAGCGTAACACAAGCACAGTCAAGTGTGGGCAGGGAAAAACCAGGATATTTCACAGTGTGAAAGTCCCTCTGTTTTAGAAGTTTCTGAAGGGACCTTCCCTACAGTGCAGGATCACGGACACACGAGCAGATGAATGGTGAGGTTGCTTGCTGAAAGCTGGCATTTGAAAACATAGCAACTTTATCCTTGATTTACCCAGGAGTGAGTTTGCCACATCTGGAGTAGGGTTAAATGGCTTTTAGGGATACATTATTTGTTTGTACCTCTTTCAAAATCAGAGCTGTTCTTGTATGCCTTTGCGTCTCGTCTTAAAACACAGGAGGACTGATCCAAAGCCCCCTGAAGTCGATGAATATCCTGTACTCCTGTAAGTTTGGGTTGTAACACATCAGCGGCAAACGCTTTGAAATGAAGGATTATTTTGCTCTCCCTACTAATCCTTACAGCACTGAGCACACCAACAGTACTTTGAAAATATTAAAAGGAGAGAGCAACACAGAAGAGAGCTTTCGAACAACCTCAGACACCAGCTCGTTCTCTAGGTCGTCTTTCCGTAAACATGACTGACCTCCGTCCCGTGCTACAGGATCGAACAGAAACAACCACGAGCAGTGATAGGAACGGAGAAGTCGGGACTTACCGACCACTGAAAACACAGCCAAGATGATCAGGAATTGCTTCATGAATAACTGTGCAAGCTGGGCTGGGAGAGCAGGCAGTTGATCCTGTGTGCGAACGAATCACCTTTTACAAGGGCTGAGCTCTTGTTTGGGAGGCCAGGTTGGATCTGTTGCTCAGTAACAGGCTGCAGAGCTACTGTCTCACCTGCCTTCGGATCCGAGATCACCAGCTGAAGATGTGTGCGCATGTGTAAGAGAGGACGTCAGAGTGACAACAGGAGCACCTCTCCCCTCGGAGTGTGAACACCCACTGTACAAAGGTGCACGAGCCAGAGGCTTAGAAAATCCCCAGCTTCTGAAAGAAAGCCAAATACCATTTTGCTGATAAAGAGCTTCCTGCCTGAAAGCCTCATTGAGATTTCTCTGTTTTGGGGCTTGCTTTTCTGGTCGGGTGACTTCGACTTGTTAAAACTCTAGAAATTAAAACTTAGTCCTGTGCGCCTACTTGGTTCTATAACTGCTGCAAGCAAGACACCTATTTCCTTAAGAAATACCTTTGAATGCTTTCTTAAAATGAAAGTTGGACAAATCACTAGTTTTTAAGCTCTTCCATTGTTCATGCTGGGCGTGGATGAGAGCCAACTGACTGGCATGTAGCCCTGCTGCATACTGGGCAGAGCACAAGCACCTCAGGTGGCTGGGGAGGCTCTCCCATTGATGCAGAAAGGAGGTAGCCCTTCTGTAGGAGGAGCATGTGCTGTCCCGTGGCTTTTCTCAGAGCCTGCTCTAGACCTACAGTTTACTTTTGTGCCTGCTCACAATTTGAGGGTCTGTTCTGAGTATCGTGGATGCCGTATGGTAAGAACTGGGAGTTTGTATGAAATCTAAACAAGAAAGAGATATAGTTCCTTTTCCATAGTGTTCTTAGTTTTTTAGGGTGTCATTACATTACATTTTCAGACTTTTCTCAGAAGAGGGAGAGACATTTCATTCTGTGGTCAAAAGTGAAAATTAATTGCTTGTCACCAGGAGATGTGGATTTAGAACCACCAGATGTGTATAACATCTGAAGAACTGGTACAGCTCCGTGCTACTTATTTTACCCAAGATGTCCTGAGTAGAGAAAACTTCACACTTGCAACCTGCGTTTGAGGCGTAGGAAACTCCCTTAGCCACTGCTTTGAATTGTTGTAGTGTGGCTGTTCCCTTGACACAGACAGGATAACCTCCCTGGCTTATTTCTCTGGCTTACTTTATCCCCTGGTCATAACTGCTCACAAAAAGTCCTGTCCTCAGTCCTCAGTTTTGCCTAGGAGTAACTGGACCATGGCATAAAGCTGAGGTTCCCCCAGAGCAAGACCAACTGGACTGTCCTGAGCGCTGAGAACCATTCAAATTACCATCGCTTCAGCCCTAGAAAAACTTTGACGGAAATAGCTGCTCTAAACCACATAGGGCAACTGTGCATTAGACAATTTCCTTATGAGCATTACTCCTATATTGTCTAGATCTATTTAAAACTCCTAAATGCTAGATTTTTTTGTTCTTATTATTACAAGTGAGTCCCGTAAGCAACGTCACACCTGCAGCCGATTTAATCAAAACACAAACCATGTGTGCTTCTGAAGCTGAAAGCACACTACTTCCACTGTTCTGTCCTTGTGGCCAAACATGTGATAGAAATTACCACCCCTTCTGCTTACCTCTTCATCTGATGGGTTTTCTGTTCCTGAAGTTGTTTCTGTTCCCTGCCCTGCTTCGATATTCACGAGGCTGTATGCTTCAAACCATGCCACTGATGCATCGCTGTCATTTTGTCCTTCTCATCTCACTTAAAGAAATGCAGAAGCCTCACAGGTTTATTAAACAAGACACACCTCTCCACCAGCGTAGCCTATGTCTAATTAAGTGCAAATCTTTGTTAGGGTGTTTCCTGAATAGCTTGCTAAATCGTTTCCATTTTTTTCTTCCCTCACCTCACTGCCTCATGCTTCTGCTGTGTTATGACACCAGGTAATGCAGAGGTGAGGGAAACTGTAGTGCACCTGAGACTTTAGTTTTGAGAATGTAACTTAAATCTTGATTTCTGCCCTTATTTGTAGAGAGATGTTACCTTTTGCATAGTCCTGGAAACACCTCTCTGAATCCTTAGGTATCTGAAGATCTCCAAAAGTCTGGTTCCAAGTTTGAAATTAAACACTTGGCTTTCAAATTCCAAAGTGTAGACTGTGACCCTACGTCAGAAGTTAGTTCCTAAGGACAAAAACAGACTGAGAGGTTCATAACACATTTTCCGTGGAGCTCTGCTTATAACTTGGCACAGCTTGGGAAAGAGGAGAAAAATCTTGCGTGCCAGAGATTTGTGCAGATAGTAGATTAAGGCCAAAAAGACCAAAGTGGTTATGTCTTCAGGTTTTTTGGTTGACTGGATCATACCCTCCCAATGAGAGGGGAGAGCTGCTTTTCTCATGACACAGCTACAACTGTTAAGTAGGATGTGAGATACGGACCGACAGCTCTGGAAGAGGGAGCACTGCGCTCTGGCCACTGATGACCCTTTTGCAGTGGAAAGCCCTGGTGAAAGTCTCAAGCCCTGATGAAAGAAAACATGGAGGAGTGGGATGCTGCCTCCACCAGTACAGCTCACCTGCCCTGCAGGCTTTCCCTCAGCTTCCATCCTCAGAAAACCTGGACAAGACAAAGAACTGATCCCAGGCCCTGAGCTGTGACATGTCAAAATAATTTTGTAGAGGTTACACAACTTCAGAGCTTCCTGTAATGCAAAGCCTGGGGTTTTTCCTTGATTGCACAAGAAAATGGGTGGTGATTGTATCTGGATGATCTGTATCTTTCTAAATGAACAGGAGGGATTACAATGCAGGATGTACCTATGGACGCTTTGGGGAGGACAGGTGAGAAAAAAAATTCTAGCTGATGAATCTTTTCTCCCACCTCTCCTTTTTACTTTAATTCAAGACCTTAATTAGTGCATCTTGCTTTCCTTTTTCAAAGCGGTTCCCAATCCCTCATATCACCCCCTACCTCTTTCTAATGTTGTTCTCCTGATTCTCTGAAGATGTCAGCTTTAATAGCCTCCATGAACACCCTTCCCTCATCTGAGACAGCTCTCTCTGAATGCGGAGCATGGCTGTTGTGTCTCTCCCTCTTTCTTGTAATGCTTTGGTTTTCTGCGTGTCCCTTTACTCAACACTGATCCTGGAATCCTTCTGACTCAATTCTTTGCTCAGAGAGATGGTCACAGTCCTGGTCTTTCAGTGACCCAGGGTGACCTGGCTGGGAAGTCTCATAGGATTCCACTCAAACTAAAGCATTAGAAAGCCCATGATGGCATCCTGGTGTAAAATATAATGTTCTTCAGGATAAGCTGCAGTCACCCTGTGTAGTTCTAGGAAACATAAAAACACGCACACATGGAGTTATATATCAAAATATTATTGCCTCTGTATAAAGCAGCTCTCAGACATTCTGCACAGCAGGGAGAATTTCAGCTTCCATTAGTATATTTGTATATATATAAAAATAAACAAACATGTTGCACATTTATCACTTTGACTTCAGTTCAGTCTGTGGAAACACAGAAGGTGATCTCTGTAGGTTGAGGTGGAGACCTTTTCATCCCACAAAAAGCAAAGGTTGTTAAATGTCTCTGTACGGTACTTCCAGTCAAGCAGGGGTGCAGTTCTGCAGTCACAGGGAAGCAAAGGCAACATCAACAGTTCTTCCTGGCTCAAAATCAACATGCAGGCACGACACACTGTGCTTTCGGAGCCCAGCTGATGGTTTCACACAGGTCCAGGTTGTGTTTTTGCTATCCCAGAGGTGGCTTTGCCTTTCAGAACTCACATACAAAAGTTACCTGGCTCTGAAGTCTCAGGTGAACACAAGGCTCTGCGTGTTCGCGGCGTGATGCCTACATGAGGTATCACTGTGTGCCTCACCCCTGCCCTGCCTGGTGCCAATGGGGTGCCTCATGCCAGAGCCGTAACACCGTCTCACAGCTCTGCTTGTACAGAGGGGTGCTGAGCGTACAGTAGTTATTTAGCAGTAAAAATACACCTTTTGTGTCCCTAAAGCCATATACCTTGGTAGGCCAGACATCAGTAGAAAAAACTCTTCTCTAGGTGAATAAATACAAAAAGCACCACTATCAGTTATTTGTTCTTGTTCTTGTTTAGGTATCCTTGCCTGGATATCTGGAGCTCTCCAGCATTTTCCAGGTGTGCCATAGAACTGCTAGAATACTTTAGCTCCTTCCCATGTAATGTGTGTGCTTGTAGCTGTTGAATTTTAACTTTTCGTCGAATTTTTCCTCCATATTTGAAGTTTCAAATGCGTCACTTAGGACAGCGGAAGTGGGAGGTGTCCCTTCTGTAAAATTATCACTGTCACAGTCACTTGCAATACCTTCATCTTCTGCCACCTGTAATGTCTGAAAGGAAATGAGCAGCTCGGTGCTGGGATCCTCACTGAGCTGTGATATCTTACCAGTCTGGACATGCAGATCATCCACTGGTTTCTGGTAACACTTGGTGAAACAATGAGCCTTCCTATGCAGGTAGTGCTCATCGGCTGGAAGTTTGGCACAAATCCCCGCCATCGGTGTTTGAAGAGGGGTCATTTCCAGGCATTCATCCCCGTCTGTATCATGCTGTCCATGTTCCCTGGGACCTGGGAATCTCACGTCAGTGAGGGATATTCTTCCCAAAGAGGAACTGTGAGAAAGGGATGCATTTCCTTGGGATCCTGAGGTGTCCACCTCATTCTTTCTCGTTGGAAAGAAAGAGAAACCCAAGGTACTTAGATCAAGCTCAGATTCACTATCCACAGAGAGACCTCCAGATCCGGAGTCGGAGCTAGTTTCCTCCTGAGCTGTTCTGGATGGTTGACAGTTGAGATGCCTCTTTGGAAACTGAGATATTTCAGTGTATGGGATGAAAGTACTACTGTCGTCTTCCTCTTCCTCCTCCTCCTCTTCTGATGGTGGTGATGATGATGATGAGAGGAAAGAAGCCATCCATGGTAGGTTGTTTGTTGCTAAAGTTTTGTTTGTCTTCCTTTGTGACATTGGCTTCTCTGTGCAGATAAGATAGTCCCTGAAGAATTCATTTTCACTGAGCTCCCAGTGAAAGGCTGGTCCAGCAGCTTTTAAATGAGATAAATCCTACCAGGGAAAAGAAACAAAACA